TCCCCCAACCTTGCCCGGCCACCGATGTGGGCGCGAGGCGGAAATTAACAGTACAGGGAAGCATAGTGTAGAAGTTTCTTTTAAAATACGTGGGAGAGGGAGCTGGAGAGATGGTTCGGGGGTTCCGGAGGACCCAAGTTCAAATCTCTAAGAATATTATTAAGTGGAAGGATAGTGTAAAAGTTTCTCATATGTAATGTGTATTATATGCATACATATATTATTTATACACACATGAGGGTACATGCTTCTGAAGTTAGAAGATCCTGAGTGATTTCTTGGCCAGCCTGGGCTACAAAGAGTCTTACAGGCCATCCCGGACTGAACAGCAAGACCCTGTCACAATAAGTAAAATTGCATTTTTTCACTTTTTTTTTCTGGACAGGTGTTCTCTGTGTAGCTTTGTAGACCAAGCTGTAACTGTCTGGAACTCCAGAAATACAGAGCCGTGCAGCCCTGTATACATAGCCCCCATATGCATAATTTAAAATAAAATTAGGGAGGTCTAAAGCGAAGGCTTAAAGTGAAGAGCATGTCCCGGTTGGGCAGTGGTGGCACACGCCTGTAATCCCAGCACTCTGGAGGTGAAGACAAGCGAATCTCTGAGTTCAAGGCCAGCCTGGTTTACAGACAGAGTTCCAGGATGACCAGGGCTACATAGAGAAACCCTGTCTTGAATTAAAAACAAAGAAGAAAACAGACTGCTCTTGCAGAGGGTCTGAGTTGAGTTCCCAGTATCCACATGGGATGGTTCACAACTGCATGTTACTTCTGGACTCTGAAGGCACATGCACACTCGCACACACACCCTGCACATAATTAAATAAGTACATAGTGAGACTCTAAAATCAATAATAACAATAATAAATTTAAACTTACAGGCTGGAGAGATGGCTCAAAGTTAAGTTTGCTCTTCCAGGGCACAAGTGTTTGAGTTCCAGTACCCACAAGGAGGCTCACAAAAGTCTGTAACTCCAATCCCAGGAGGTATGACGCCCTCTTCTGGTCTTCATGGACATTGCACGCATATGGGGCACAGACAGACAAAACATACATACACATAAAACATTCTCCTGGATTTTTTCCTCCCAATAAACCTCTTAGATGAGCTTTGGGTGAAGATCTTCTTTTCCAGCAGAGCAGAAATGACCCTGGGCAGAGCAGGGAGAGCAGAGCCAGGGAAACCTTCACCTGGCAGAGTGGAGTTGTCTCCACTCTCCCAGGAGCAGAGCTTAACTGTAGCAACTTCACCCCAGAAACCCTCTCCTGCCAGAGCAAAACTGCTACACTGGGAAAATATCCCCAGCTGGAAAATCCTCTCCTGCCGGAGCAGAGCTAATACTCTGGGGTAGCCTTTCCCTGAAGCAGGGCTGTAAGCTATGCTTCCTGTGACCTGTGTATTCCTTGCCTCCCAAGTGCAAGAATATCTTTCCATCTGAGCTGTAACACTCAGTATTCTGTGACTCCCGAGTGCCATAATCCATCCCTGTCCGTCCCATCCCATCTGTCAAAATGCTTACACCCCAAGCAGCCAGTAACCCTGGCAGGGCAATCTATGACAAAGTGTTGGTGTGTCCAGACTTTTGAATGTCTCGTGGTCACAACTCAAGGCTTTTGTTTTTGAGACTGGTTTCTTTTAAGCCAGCCTGGCCTCTAATTTACAATGGCTTTGAACCAGAGCTGGGCTCACAGGTGTGCTGTGCTCAGTCAGTTTCTGCTGCTCAGGGGTTCAGATGCATCTTCAGGCATGCCAGGCAAGCTCTCCACCAGCTGAGCTACACCCCCGTGCGAGAATTTTTTCTAATCATAATTTTAGCATGATTACTCATTCAATGTATCCTCTCTCCCATTTGAATAAACAAATTAATGCTGAAGGACAGAGATTAAAGTCGGCAGTTCCCAGACATTCTCTACACCTCCTCCTGTGTCCATTCCCAGTCAGCAGTCACTGGTTTCCTGCTGGGAAAAGCACGGTGTGGAGATGCCCATCCACTGGGGTCCTCATACAATCCCTCACAGGACATGGTCCAAGCCTAGGGCTTGCCTTGTGCTCTGCCGCACGGAGCAGTCCTGGAACCCATTCATTCCACATGGGTCCTGTCACAGAAGGCAGCTCAGCTTCCACCTTCCTGTCTGTCCCACCTCAAAGCTGGGGCATGGTGGCCAGACTCTATACCCTGAGAACTTGAGAAAGAAGACTTAGGAGTTCAAGGTCATCCTAAGCTATATAGCAAGTTGGCACCCAGCCTGGACTATCTGAGACTTAAAAACAAATGGCCAGATGAAATGGCGCACATCTTTCACCCAGCACTCAGGAAGCAGAGGCAGACAGATCTCTGAGAGTTCCAGGCCAGCTTGGTCTATGTAGTAACTAGACCAGCCAGGACTATATAGCGAGACCTTGCCTCAGAAAAACAAGCTAAACCAAATAGGACAGAAAGAACAAAACTAGGGTTGGTGAGGTAGCTCAGAGGTAAAGTGCTTTCTGTCAAGCCCAAGGCCTTCTATTCACATCAGTCCCTGGGACCTGCATATTAGGAGGAGGATCAGCTCTTCTGATTGTCCTCTGACTGCCACACAGAATGAATGAATGAATGAATGAATGATGAAACGAACCCCTTCCTAGGGTCTACAGTCTTTTATACCTTTGCCCATCTTCCTCCTAATTCTGTGGGCATGACCTGGGCCTCTTTCTTATGTAGCCGTTAGCAGCCAGATGATGTCCAATCCACAGCCTTAAAGTCTTGTAGCTAGCTTCCTTTCCTGCCTTGCCAACAGTCTCCTACTTCTGGCGTAAACCATATTATAATGACTTTCTGACTTTTCTCTGGTGAGGGACAAGCAAAATGGCATAGCAGGTAAGGGACTTGCTGCGGACCTGAGCTTGATTCCTGGACGCAGTGAACTGAACTGACTTCCACTATCTTACTGTAGTTCACGCACACACATGCACAGACGCATAAAAATATTGTTACCAAGCTGGGCGGTGGTGGCGCACGCCTTTAATCCCAGCACTCGGGAGGCAGAGGCAGGCGGATCTCTGTGAGTTCGAGGCCGGGCTGGACCGACAGCCTCCAAAACAATAGAGAAACCCTGTCTCGTAAAAAAAAAAAAAAAAATTGTTACTACTTTTTGTTTCTGAGACAGGGTTTCTGTGTAACAGCCCTGGCTGTGACTTGCTTTGTATACCAGGCTGGCCTCGAACTCACAGATCCTTCTGCTTCTGCCTCCTGAATGTTGGGATTAATGGTGTGCGCCACCACCCAGCAAAAAATTATTTTTGAGACAGCCTCGTAGCCCAGACTGGCTAATCTGACTCTGTAGCCAAAATGATCTTGACATGGTGATCCTCCTGCCTCCACCGCTGAAGTGTGTGCTCACTTGTGTATGTGTGTGTATGGAGGCCCGAGGTTGACCTCAAGTCCTCACTTCATCTCTGCCAAATTCATCCAGGCAGAATCTCTCACTTGAACCCAGAGCTCACCAATATGGCTACCCAGCTTGCACCAGGCAGCCCCAGCCTCCGCCCAAGTGCTTCTGAAAGAGTCTCTCTGTGTAGCCCTGGCTGTCCTGGAACTCTGTAGACCAGGCCAGCCTTGAATTCACAGAAATCCTCTTACGCCTCTACCTCCCAAGCACTGAGATTAAAGGTGTGTGCCGCCTCCGTGCCTTCAATCCCAGCACTTGGGAGGCAGAGGCAGGCCTGGTCTACAGAGTTCCAGGACAGCTAGAACTGTTACACAGAGAAACCCTGTCCCAAGAGGAGGAAGAGCGGGGGGGGAACGACACCACACGGGGACACGACACTGCGAGCCACCACGCTAAGCCTGGTCTTCCTGCCTACCTATGTGCAATGCTGTGAGTACACTAGCGTGCCTTGTTTTACTTGGTACAGAAGATAGGAGTCCTGGTTGTTGAGCTGCCATGAGGGTGCTGATAACTGAACTCAGGTCCTCTGCAAGAGCAATACATGCTGCCCTTGACGAGCGAGACCCCCTCCAACCAATATATGTATGTGAGTGGATATATATAGATAGATGTATCATATAAATTATAACATACATTACAGATTTCATGTGTGTGTGTGTGTGTGTGTGTGTGTGTTGTGAGTGCCAGAGTCCGTCTGGAGGCGAGAGATCACCTGAAGGAAGTCTGGTCTTGAGTGTATATGTAGAGAGATGATAGACAGATGTGTCATATAAATGATAACAGATTACAGATTTCATGTGTGTGTGTGTGTGGGTGTGTGTGTTCTTGTGAGTGCCAGAGCTCACCTGGAGGCGAGAGATCAAAAAGAAAAGGAAAAGAAAAGTACTGGACAGGGTCAGCACGTAATGACTTCACAAGCATACACCCACCCCAAGTCTGTTCCCACAACCTTGTAGAAAGAAGCAATCAGACACTAACAAGACATATTTCAAATAGTTTAATTTTAAAAATACTCTATTCAGTGCTAAAATAGGTCTTCACTTGCTGTTGCCCATTTCCATTTTTTCTTAAACTTCTCTTTTTTCAGACAAAAAATAAAATCATAAAGTTTAATTAAACATGCAGATTTCAAAGAAAAAGGAACTTTCTAGAAAGTCTGAGCTGAAGCAGGTACTGTGGTCAGAACCTCCAATCCTGGCTGGGGTTTCTGCGGCTGGAGGCAGGGATGCTGGAATGCAATGGACAGTGAAAACTGGAAGCTGCGTGTGTGCGTGGTGAGTGTGGGGAAGTGGAAGGTTCTGGCAGGCACAGAGCTGGGAGCAGCTGGGGCATCACCAGAGGCAGGGCTGCCTCAGAACATGAGTGGTCTGCCCACAGTGCAGAGAGCCCCCCTGGGAAAGCATCTCCCCACTGCCCACAGTGCAGAGAGCCCCCCCCCGAAAGCATCTCCTCACTGCCCACAGTGCAGAGAGCCCCCCCTGGGAAAGCATCTCCCCACTGCCCACAGTGCAGAGAGCCCCCCTGGGAAAGCATCTCCCCACTGCCCACAGTGCAGAGAGCCCCCCCCCGGGAAAGCATCTCCCCACTGCTCTCCACATCTCTACCCATCAGCCCCTCTCTTCCAGCAGCAGCCTGCAGGGCCCTGGCCCTGTGGCTAAGTCCATGACTTTACAGTCTCCATTCAAGTTCAAGTAATCCTAGGCACTCTTCTCTAGGGCGCCTTCCACACCTTTCTCCTCGAGGCAGCGCCAGCAGCTCCGTGCAGTGGTTCTGGAGGTGGCAAATGAACCCTGATGCTCTGGCCTACTTGGGGTGCAGAAAGGACGTGAGTGTTCCTCTGCTCAAGAGCAAGCAGACACAAGTGTCAGGGACAGGAAGATGATGTGACGACCCCACGCCCTCCGTCAGCCTTCTAGCCCAGAGGGCTCCCACACACAGGCTCTGGACCCCAGCATCAGAGCTCGGCGAGACCAGAATGCAGTAAATAGAGGCAGGGGCCAGGAGGCGAGGGGCCGGGATGGTGCTAGCTTTCCAACGTGGTCTGCGGCACTGCAGGTTGGTCAACACAGAATCGCTTCAAGGGCGGGGCACCGGAGTCCTCCTCTTCCTCAGTGGTCTAGAAACAGCAGGGCAGAACATGAGCCACCCCTGAGTAGCCCTGCCCATTCACCACACTGCAGCATGAAGCCTGCCCTCTGCCTGCTCACAGGTGACCAAACCCTGACCCTATTTTAAAACCCGGTGAGTATTTCTCCAGCAAACTCTACACACAGCTTGTACTAGCCACAAAATTCCTAGGCTCTTTCCTTCTCTTCCTTGGAAAGGGGGAAAGCCAGGGACCTCTCACCTGTGTCTCTAGTGGGACCGGTTCTTCCTTCGTGAGGGTGGGAGGTTCATCTGCAACTTCAGATGCAGGCAGTGACGGCTCTGTAACAGTAGCAAGGTTAGCTCAAGATAGGTCTAGCCTGGCCTTGGTCTGGGGAGAGTTCCTGAGAGTCATGTCAGGGAGATGTAGGCCCTGGAAGCACTGTGCAGGCCTGCTGAGGTGCCACTGTCCCTCACGTAGGATGGGACAGTGTGACTGACCACAGAGGACCACCCTCCCAGCCTGGGTGCCACCTCCCTGTCCTATGAGGGGAACATTAGATAAGACAGATGGAAGGAGCTAGAGCAGCACATGGACAACAGCAGGAACACCAAAACAACTTCAATTCTGTGCCTTACAGCCAACAAGCCAAAAACAGAAGCTAACGAGGGCCAAAGATGTTATGTAAGGCGTCTCCACAACTCACCCTCAAGGATCTCCTGGCCCAGTGTGGGTGGCTGGGAGTCATCAGTGCGGAAGTCTGAGGTGTGTGCAGGGCTCAGGGACTCGCTCTGCTGGGGGCTGGGGCTTGAGTTGGTGCTGCTGTCCACCTTGAGCTGATACACATCCGACATGGAGCTCTGGTTGCTGTTCTCATCTGGAAACCAAACAGTAAACAAACAGCTGGGATGGCACCGTCCAAGGAGCTCAGCCAGAGCCACCAACAGTTACCCTGACGCAGGTGCCTCCAAAAAGGAAGCCAGAGTAGGGTTCCTGGTGCCTGGGAATTATCTGCAGAGTCGGAGCTGATTGCTTTGAGACAGGGGTCACAATATAGAGCAAGCTGGCCTCAGTGTTTCATTGATCCTCCTGGCTCTGCCTCCCCAGTCCTAAGTACAGGTGTGACTAACCACATTCAGCAAAAATCACTATGTATGGAGCTGAACTTACTATGAACTCTACCTTCCTGCCTTCACCTCTCGAGGGTTGAGCTCAGAGGCAAGACCTGTTTTGTGTGGTGCCGAGGACGAAACCCAAACTTCCTGGGTACTGAGTGAGTACTCTACCAACTGAGCCATATTCCCAACCCAAGCATTTCTACTTGACAATGTATAGTAAATGCAGCCAAAACATGAATACACCATTTGTACCCAGGGATAGAGAACTCTGTTTATATAACCATGTTTCCTATTCCTACCAATTACAGCTCTGGCCTGGTAGCACACTGAAGGTGGTGGTGCCATCTGTACTTCCCACAGCATACAGAATGGTAGCACCACATGTCTGGCCCTCAGGGTACCTGAAGGAGGCTGTGGTATCTGGAGGTGGTCACCTCAGGCTCTCAGGCACCCAACTGCTCCAAGGGCGAGAGATTATCAACTCTGTCTAAAGGCTTCAGATCACCAAGGAAATTAAAAGCTGAGGCTTCCACAGTTCCACCTCCAGAACGCCTCTGGCAGTCACAGTCCTGGTCACCTGCATTTGCTCCTTCCCTGAATGTCCCTCAGTTCAGACGTAACGCTGGCCTAGCCCAATGTGACAGCCTTGAACCTCATGGCCTCATAGCATGGACAGAGAGAACACTCCAACCGTGCAAAGACGCTAAGGTGGAAAGTGCTCCATGTCCCTGCACTTCTGAGAGCAGACAGAGGCGAGGCTGCCCTCAGGCCTCACTGTCTGCCAGTCGTTAACCTGTGGCCTGGCTCCAGCAGCTGGAAGCTGATCAAGTGTTGCTCCATGAAGCAGATCTGTGCTGACCTTCCTGCTGCTGGCTGGTATGACTTTTCTCCCCAGACTCCCTGGAAAGTTCCTATACATCTGCAGCGTGTGACAGGGTCCCGGTGTTCACTGGGGTGGACCGGCACACCCTGTGAGCCCTGATGCTTCCACTGGCCCCTGTGCATACACTGGTCACCTACTCTCACACTGTATGGGCAGTTCCTGGAGTTGCCTTGTCCCCAACATTCCAGTGCCAGGCACAGGAAGTACAAACAAAGGGATGAGGTGGTGACCAGGCTGAGGTCTCCTGTCTCTTGAAGCATTCTGACCACTGAACACCCTTGCCCTGTGTTCTCCTTCCTCTGTGACACTGACCTTTGTGGGGAGGCAGGAGGAGAGCAGGGACAACTGCATGCTGGGTAGCTTCACATACAGTTCCAAAGACACAGCCTGTCTTCCCTCTTTCCAAGACCACTGTCCTGCCCGCTAAAATGGAACTGGCACTTTTATCTGTGTGTGTGTGTGTGTGTGTGTGTATGTATGTATGTGAAAAAGCTAAAGTTCTGATCCTGGTCTGATGACACAGACCTATAATACCAGCCACTTGGGAGGCTGAGGCAGAAGAATTCAAGTTCAAGGGTAGCCTGGGCAACCTACAGAGATCCTATCTCAAAATGAAAATGGGGGTGTAGGCCAGGCATAGTGGTGGTGCACACCTTTAATTCCAGCACTCGGGAGGCAGAGGCAGGCGGATCTCTGTGAGTTCGAGGCCAGCCTGGCCTACAGAGTGAGTTCCAGGACAGCCAGGGCTACATAGAGAAACCTTGTCTCAAAAAAAGAAAAAAAAAGGGGTGTGGGGAGCTGCACACATAGCTCAGAGACAAAAGCTTGCCTTGCATTCATGAGGTTATAAATTCAGTTTCAAGTACTGACAGAAAACAAACAAACAAAAACTCAACAAACAGCAGCAAAGTGTTGTCACTTGTGCTCTGGCTCTTGAAGAGGGGATGACAGCAACCGCATGCTTTGTATCATGGGCTGACCGAGGGCAAAAATGAGGACTAACATGAAATTGCCTCGTGAGTAAGATGCTGTGTAGGGAGGAAAGGCATAGGAACAGGGGTTGTCGCCCTTCCTAACGCTGCCACCCCTTAGCACAGTTCCTCGTGCTCTGCTGACCCCAACCGTAAAACTATTTTGTGGCTACTTCATAACTCTGATTTTGCTACTGTTATGGATTATAACGTAAATATCTTTGCTTTCTGATAGCCTTAGGTGACTCCTGTGAACAATCATTCAACCACCAACGGGGCTGGGACCACAGGTCGAGAACCACTGCATTAGAAGGTGGTGCTACAGGGGCAGGGGTCACTCAGGCTGGCTAAGAAGACAGCAGCCTTGGCTGTGGGTGGCCTACTCTAAAACAGCATGATCAAACAGACACCCTAAAAAAGAGACAGTTTCTAGTGGGTAGTAGTGGCGCACGGTGTTAATCCCAGCAATCAGGAGGAAAAGGCAGGTGCATCTCTGAGTTAGACACCAACCTGGTCTACAGAGTGGTCCCAGGATAACCAGGGGGGACACCCACTGGTTCCAGAACTGTAGATACCTGGTACCCTCAGCTCCAAGCTTCACGTCACAACACTGGACAATGAGAATATCACCGTCCACCTTGCAGGGCTACCATGAGGGCCAATGGCAAAGCTCTCTGACCTGAAGTCCAGGCTAAAGCACAGAACTAGAATGCTATGTGTTAGTTTTCCAGAGAGAAGAACTCACCTTGCTGGGGACGGGTCCCAGAGCCTTAGACATGCAGGCAAGCTCTGCTGCTAAGCCACACTGCCAGGCCAGGAACGCTCTTTCTTAACATATACACTTTAACTTTTCACTATGTCTATATGTGTCTGTGTGTGTGAGTACACGTGTCCACGGAGACTAAGAGGTCAGATGCCCTGGGACCAGAGTTGTGAGCTGCCTGATGTGGGTCCTGGAAACTGAACTCATGTCCTCTACAAGAACAATTCATACTCTTTACCACTGAACCTACTTTTTAGTTTTTCAAAACAGGGTTCCTGACTGTACTGGAACTCCAAGATGCGCCTGCCTCTGGCTCCCGAGTGCTGGGATTAGAGGTGTGCGCCCAGGTATGTGCTTATCCCTGTGATGTGACTGACGTTCCCTGGTTATTTTGTGGATTTATTTTTATGTGTGTACGAGTGTTTTGCCTGTGCGTTTACACGGGTGCCACTTGTGTGCCTGTGGAGCTCAAAAGGCATCAGATCTCTTGGATCCCTGGGGTTACGGATGGTTGTGAGCAACCATGTGGGTGCTGAACCCTGATCCTGGGACCCTGCAAGAGCAACAAGTGCTCTAACCACTGAGATATCTCTCTAGCACCACATTTTCTAGTTTCTGAAAAGAAGATATAGAATCAACTCACCCTGGAATTCAAGAAGGAGAGAGGAATTGGCTGAGGCATCAGAGGGAAAGCCATTGGTTTCCCGGGTTGCTGAATTGTTCGATTTGGATTTTTCTTTCTATAAAAGGAAAAACAAGAGGACTATGACAGAGCTAAGTAGGAGCCTCACAAGGAGGGGGCAGGCACTGGCTATCTGACGGCCTCAGGGAGTGAGCAGGAGTAAGGGGCGCTGGGACCCCAGGAGCAGATGGAGCATGAGAAGGAGTGAGCTGGAGGCAGCTGATCAACAGCCGGGGAGGCGGGAACGCAGGCCCCCCACAGCTCCACGGTCTCTTCTGCCCTGACTGAAGCACTCAGCCAGCCCTCCCTTCCCTGTGTGGAGGAGTGAGGAACAAACACATGTACATTTGAGAAGGATCCTTCTTTTTTTTCCTTTTTGTTTTTCAAGACAGGGTTTTTCTGTGTTTTTCTAGATGGCTCTGTAGACCAGGCTGGCCTAGCAGAGATCCATCTATTTCCGCCTCCTGAGTGTTGACTTTTTTGTTTTTTGATACAGGGTTTCTCTGTGGCTTTGGAGGCTGTCCTGGGACTAGTTCTTTTTTTTTTTTTTTAATATTTCATTTATTTATTATTTATACAGCCTTCTGCCTGCAGGCCAGCAGAGGGCACTAGATCTCACTCAAGGTGGTTGTGAGCCACCATGTGGTTGCCCGGAATTGAACTCAGGACCTCTGGAAGAACAGTCAGTGCTCTTAACTGCTGAGCCATCATCTCTCCAGCCTGGGACTAGTTCTTATAGACCAGGCTGGTCTTGAACTTACAGAGATCTGTGTAGGGAAAAGAGTCCAGCCAAAGAAACACACATTGGCACTGCAACCAGAACCAAAGAAATGCACCCTGACCCTGAAACCAGTGCCAAAGGAACACACTTTGTCCCTGGAATCAGAGTCAGTGAAAGAAATACACACTGGCCCTAAAATTAGAGCCAAAAGGCTAAAAAGGACCAGAGAAAGAAACACACTTTGGCCCTGAAACCAGAGGCAAATCTGACCCTAAACCTGTGCAGAAAACCAACCAATCCTTGAGCAGATCTAGCCATCCTAAACTCAGGGATTGAAATCTGACCAGTCCCCATCCTGGAAAACTCTGCCCCCTAAGAATCCCCATATAAACCCTGTGTCTGTTCAACTTGTGGCTGTTTTGGCTGCCTGGCTGTCCGCTGCCACCCTGACAGCCTGGCAGAGGGCAGCCACTGTCTTGGATTCTTTCCTCCCAATAAATCTCTTTTTTTGTTGTTGTTGGTTTTTTTTTGTTTGTTTGTTTTTTCGAGACAGGGTTTCTCTGTATTGTTTTGGAGGCTGTCCTGGAACTCCATCTATAGACCAGGCTAGCCTCGAACTCACAGAGATCCGCCTGCCTCTGCCTCCCGAGTGCTGGGATTAAAGGTGTGCGCCACCAACGCCCGGACCAATAAATCTCTTGAATGGGGTTTGGGTGAGACCCTCTTTCACCAGAGCAGCAGGGACAGGGACCCTCTCCTGGCTAGGTGAAGTTGTTACACTCTGCTGGGGGGAGTGTGCTGGAGCTGAACTGTAACAACTTTGCCTGGGAAGCCCTTTCCTGCCAGAGCAGAGCTGATACACTTGGGAAGCTTTTCCCTGAAGCAGGGCTGTAAACTGTTGTGCTTACTGTGACCTGTGGTATTCCTTGGTTCCCAAGTGCCAGAATACTTTTCCATCCAAGCTGTAACACTTAGTATTTTGTGACTCCCGAGTGCCATAATCCATCCCCGTCTATCCCATCTGATCCATCAAAATGCTTACAATCCTCCTGCCTCTGCCTCCCGAGTGCTGGGATTAAAGATGTGCACCACCACTGCCAGCTAAAACGGACTTTTTTTTTTTGATCCCTAGTTAGGGAAAAGGGAACAATACAGATGTAACAGGGCAGGGCAGGGGAAAAGCGCCTGCTGGCTCCGCCTCAGTAACCGCTGCATCCCTTCAGGATGACCACTTGATCTCTGCTTTCCCTGACAGCACTTCAGACAGAATGATCGAGGCTGCCCAGAAGGGCCACAGTGAGAAGGCATGTGCACTGCCCCCCCCAGCACAAGGGCACACAAAAGTCAAAGTTGAAATCTGCTGTCTTGGCTACACCAACTCATGCTCTTCAGACCCAGTCACTGTGGATGCATCAGTACCTCAAACCTAACCCTATGAAGAAATCACTTACATTTATTTTTTCTTTTTCTTTTTTTTTTTTTTTTTTTTTTTTTGGTTTTTCGAGACAGGGTTTCTCTGTATTGTTTTGGAGGCTATCGGTCCAGCCCAGCCTCGAACTCACAGAGATCCGCCTGCCTCTGCCTCCCGAGTGCTGGGATTAAAGGTGTGCGCCACCACCGCCCGGCTTTCCTTCATTTTTTATATACAGACCTATTTCTTTTCTTTCTTTTTTGTTGTTTTGACAGTTTCTCTGTGTACCCTGGCTGTCCTGGAACTCACTCTGTAAACCAGGCTGGTATCAAACTAAGAGATACCATGAGTGCTGGGATTAAAGGTGTTAGAACTGTTTCTTTAACTGATTTGCTACATTTAATTGTTTATTTTGTATGTGTACACATGTAAACTTGTGTGCTGATCAGAGGACAACTTGGGGGAGTCAGTTTTTTTCTTCCCTAGGAATTGAACCTGGGCCATCAGGGTTGGTAACCTTTATCCACTAAGCCACCCTGCCTGCCCATGCAGACCCAAATTTAATGCAGCTGTAAACACTCCGTCATGTTTACAGAAACACACTTTTAGTAGTTACACAGTATTCTCCCCAGGTATTGAACATTGAGATTTAAGCTAGTTATAATTATGTTTATTACCACAAAGAACAAGACCATAATAACTTTACATTTTCTGAATTAGTTTTTACTCAAATGATTTTGAAAAAAATGAAACAAAACAACCCCATTCATTTTAGATCAAAACATATAACCATATAATTACTATTTCTAGAATGCCTGTCTCATTTTATTTTTTCACTTTTGCAGCCATGGGGATCAAACCCAGGATCTCACGCATACTAAGGACTCAAGCACTTACCATGGAGCCAGTGTACCAAACAACAAACCCTCAGAATCATCCTAGCAAATAAGAAAAACTGTAACCACAACTCTGTCACAGACATTTTAACAACCATGTGTGCCAAAATTTATGAGACAACTGTACTAGGCAACAAAGAAATCAAGTGATTTTTTAAAAAGATTTATTTATTTATTACACATACAGTGTTCTGCCAGGAGAGGGCACCAGATTGAATTGTAGGTGGTTGTGAGCCACCATGTGGTTGCTGGGAATTGAACTCAGGACCTCTGGAAGAGCAGTCAGTGCTCTTAACCTCTGAGCCATCTCTCCAGCCCTCAAGTGATTTTTTAAAACACAATAAAGAAAACTACCTTTAAAAAATGGCTGGAAGCCAGGCGTTGGTGGCGAACTCCTTTAATCCCAGCACGCGGGAGGCAGAGACAGGCGGATCTCTGTGAGTTCGAGGCCAGCCTGGTCTACAGAGCGAGTTCCAGGACAGCCTCCAAAACAATACTCTAAACCCTGTTTCGGGGAAAAAAAATGACTGGAGGAGTGGGGTGTTGGTGGAGCACACCTTTAATCCCAGCACTCAGAAGGCAGAGGCAGGCGGATCTCTGTGAGTTTGAGACTAGCTTGGTCTACATAGTGACTTCCAGGACAGCCTCCAAAGTCGCAGAGAAACCCTGTCTCGAAAAACAAAAACAAAACAAAACAAAACAGAAAAAATGGCTCAGCAGTTAAGAGCACTGACTGTTCTTCCAGAGGACCTGGGTTCGATTCCCAGCACCCACATGGCAGCTCATAAACATCTGTAACTCCCGTTTCAGGGGATCCAACACCCTCACACATGCCAGTAAAACACCAATGTATATAAAATACAAATAAATTATAACAAAATGGAATACAGATGGCGATTGGAGAAATGGCTCAGTCATATTGTGCTTGCCACACAGGCATGAGGATCTCAGTTCATATCCTCAGTACACACCTAAAAGCCAGATGTGGGGGCTGGAGAGATGACTCAGAGGTTAAGAGCACTGACTGCTCTTCCAGAGGTCTTGAGTTCAATTCCCAGCGACTGCTCTTCCAGAGGTCTTGAGTTCAATTCCCAGAGACTGCTCTTCCAGAGGTCTTGAGTTCAATTCCCAGCAACCACATGGTGGCTCACAACCATCTACAATTCAATCTGGTGTATATGTAATAAATAAATAAATCTTTTTTTTTTTGGTTTTATGAGACAGGGTTTCTCTGTATTGTTTGGAGCCTGTCCTAGAACTCGCTCTGTAGACCAGGCTGGCCTCGAACTCACAGAGATCTGCCTGCCTCTGCCTCCCAAGTGCTGGGATTAAAGGCGTGCGCCACCAACGCCCGGCCCGGCTAATAAATAATCTTAAAAAAATAAAAAAATAAAAGCCAGGTGTGGAGGCATGCAGGGCGCGCACACACACACACACACACACACACACACACACACACACACACTCACACAGATGCACTGTACTTCAGCAGCAGAAGGCTTGCCTAGCATATGTGATGTCCTGGGCTCCTCCCCAGCACTTCATGAAGTCAGGCATGATGGTGCATGACTATACTTCCAGCACCTGGCAGGCAAGAGGACCAGAAGTTCAAAGTTGTCCTTGGATGTATATGTATATATAGCAAGTCTGAGGCCAGCCTAGGCTACATGAGACTATTTCAAAAAGACAAACAACACCCAAACAAACAAACAAAAGCAAACAGGGGCTGGAGAGATGGAACAGCAGTTTAGACACTGGCTTCTCTTGCACAGGACCGGGGTTCAGCACCCACACTGCAGCTCACAACCATCTGTAACTCCACTTCTACAGGATCTGATGCCCTCTTCCGGCCTCAGCTGGCACCAGGCACGCATCTATCGCACAGGCACACATGCAGTCAGAACGCCCATGACAGCAAACACTCAATTTGATAAAGTAGAAAAAGAATAGGAGTAAACAAATGCAAGAGGCAACCAAAGCAAAGACTGATAAAAATTACAGAATAACTGCCTACCGTGGACAGGCTACAA